GCTCCGTATATTTGTGGTCATTCTGCTGTTAATCAAAGAACTTTTCACTGCCCAATGATCGACTCTGTCGAAAGCCTTTTCGAAATCTATGAACGCCATATAGCCATATATAGAGGAATGTAATATTCATTTGCTCGTTCTATAAGTATTTTCATACTAAGTAAATGGTCACTTGTGCTGAATCCCTTTCTAAAACCAGCTTGTTCTTTTGACAAAATCGAATTTTGTCGTCAATCTATTGGTTAAAATTTTTGTTATAAGTTTATACATTACATTGAGGAGTGTTATCGGACGGTAGTTTTTTATATCTGCTTTTATCCCCTTTCTTGTGTAGGATAATGGTTACTGATTCCTTCCAGTTGTTTGGGATTCTTTTTTCTTTTAATAACTTATTAAAAAGGGGATGTAGAGCATTAATTATCACTTTTCCACCATATTTCAGCATCTCTACAGTTATTCCATCTTTTCCAGGCGATTTGTTGTTTTTCATTTCTTTCAATGCCTTCTTTATTTCTGATTTGCTTATTTCTGGCTGTAGCTCTGAGTTGACATTTTTTATTTTAACCTTAAGTTGATTACTATTAAACTGGGAATAAGCCACAATTAAAGATAAAAATACGTTTATTGACGTTTCAATTTCCACTTCGGAAATCGTTCTCAAAATACAAACAGTAAATTAAACAAATTTTGTTTTTTGTTACACAGTGAAAAATTCTTCTAATAATTTAATTTTATCTGACTCATTTATATTGACAATTCAGACATACATTATGCATTTTAAAGTAGACGACTTTAAAATGATATTGCCAATACTGTTGAGTTGCGCTCCTGGGACGACTTTACTTATAAGATAGTTCATTCGATTACATGAAATCAACTTTAACTTGAGAATATCCGTCAGAAAAAAAAATCATAGCATGTAATTCGTCTTTAAAAAGACAAACACATGACATGATGACAGTAAAATTCTCCTGTTAGTGATTCCATAGTAAATTATGAGGGAAAACCAGGAAAAAAACTTCATAATAATATCCCGACAGTGTAAGTATTTGTTCGTGAATTTAGTTTACCTTCAACAAACATCAAAATTCTGATTTTATATGTACGTTATTTAAAAAAACATAAATAATGTATCCTCTATATGTTACTGACTTACTAATACTGGTATTTTCTTATTAATAACTTCCTCTTTCAATATTGGTAACCAGATCCTACTACATTCTACCGAGGAATTTTGCGACACAATCTTTGATTTTATTTTCGTATTGAATTTTATCCATTATCACAGTTGCATTCCCCTTGTCTGCTGGTAGTATGCATTATGGAGTCGTCATTTTTTAAAGTTCTTATAGCCTTTAGTTCCTCTTTGCTTATGTTTTGTTCAATTTTAGTAGATTTTTCCAATTCAAGTTTACATAACACTCTGTATTCTTCCTTTCGTGGGTTGGTAAGCATTGAGATATTTTCTCCACTGAGCTTATTATGCCTAATTTTGGAACGGATGGCTGAGTAATAGCAAAATTTAGACCCTTTGACAGTATTAAATTCTCCGTTGCATTTATAGTTTATATATTCTCTAGTTTATCTCCATTCTTAGCCGATATATTTATGGAAGATTTTGAAACAAATATCATTTCTAAACAAAATTTCAAACCAACAGTATGGTGGAGGTATGTAGATGATGTATTCTCAATATGGCCTCATGGATCAGAGTTTGTTGGACACATTCCTAAATGATATAAACGATAAAGAAGAGACAATAACATTTACCATGGAAAAGGAATATAATAACACGCTACCTTTCCTGGATGTTTTTAATCTCTAAGAACGATACGGATATGAGACTCAGGTGTATAGAAAACCAACACACACCAATAAGATATTTAAATTTCAAATCAAATCACAATATTAATGTAAAAAAGGGAATAATTAAATCCTTATACGATAGAGCCAAAATTACTTGTTCTAATGAAAATTCGTTCTTGGAGGAGAAACATTTGTTAACATCTGTTTTATTAAAAAATGATTAATCCTTTATCGTTATATAAATAAGGAATTTTCAACAATCGATCGAATAGAACAGAACAACTTAGAACGAGATCCTACAGCATACACAAGGAATAATATGAGAAAAATAACAATACCGTACATAAAAGGACTATCAGAAAAACTTAAAAGGATAGGAAATAAATTCAACATTTCAACAACATTCAAAACAACAAACACGTTGAGATCTATTTTGTCCAAAACCAAACCTAACAATGAACAAGAAAGGACAAAGAATTGCATTTATAAAATACCTTGTGAATGCGATCAGTTTTATTTAGGTGAATCATCAAGGCCATTAAATGTTAGAATAAGTGAACATCAATCTTATATTAAAAATAGAGAATTTGATAGATCTCAAATCTGTAAACACGCATGGGATAATGAACATAGGGTTCAATGGAATAATTCAAATGTAGTCCTAAAAGAAACGGATGGTAAAAAAAGAAAAATCAAAGAAGCGGCTCTAATTATGCTAAATGAGGCCAATTGTGTCGCAAATTCCTCGGCAGAATGTAGTAGGATCTGGTTACCAATATTGAAAGAGGAAGTTATTAATAAGAAAATACCAGTATTAGTAAGTCAGTAACATATAGAGGATACATCATTTATGTTTTTTTAAATAACGTAACATATAAAATCAGAATTTTGATGTTTGTTGAAGGTAAACTAAATTCACGAACAAATACTTACAATGTCGGGATAGTATTATGAGGTTTTTTTCCTGGTTTTCCCTCATAATTTACTATGGAATCACTAACAGGAGAATTTTACTGTCATCATGTCATGTGTTTGTCTTTTTAAAGACGAATTACATGCTATGATTTTTTTCTGACGGATATTCTCAAGTTAAAGTTGATTTCATGTAATCGAATGAACTATCTTATAAGTAAAGTCGTCCCAGGAGCGCAACTCAACAATATTGGCAATATCATTTTAAAGTCGTCTACTTTAAAATGCATAATGTATGTCTGAATTGTCAATATAAATGAGTCAGATAAAATTAAATTATTAGAAGAATTTTTCACTATGTAACAAAAAACAAAATTTGTTTAATTTACTGTTTGTATTTTGAGAACGATTTCCGAAGTGGAAATTGAAACGTCAATAAACGTATTTTTATCTTTAATTGTGGCTTATTCCCAGTTTAATAGTAATTAATTTACAATGCCACAAGAAAATAGCTTCAGAACAATATTAAGAAACCTTAAGTTGGTTTTTAATTACTTCTGGTGGTTCCTTTTTTGTTTTATATAATTCTGAGTAGAAATGGTGGATTAAATTTTTAGGATGTCATCTTTAACGTTTGTTTCTACTCCATTTACATCTTTTATTTTGTTTATTTCAAACTTACCTAATTTCGGCATTAAGCATTTCATATTTTTGTTGTTCTGTATTATTTCTTCTATTTTTATTTCTTGTTCTTTTCTCTTATTTTCTTTTATCATTCTGCTTATTGTTTTATTGATTTCTACATATTCTATAGATTTACTTTTGCCTCCTTCGTTCAGCTTCCTTCTTTATCCATAAGCTTTTTTGTTTCTGTTGATATATAGTTGTTCTTTTTTAGATCCTTTTTTGCTATTTCTTTTCCTGATGTAATTATTGTTGCTGTAAGTTATGTTGTCTATTTCGTCTATATCGTCATCATCACTGTCTAATTTTTGGGTAAGCTGTTCTTTTAATAGGTCTTTTTATATCTCTTTATATTCAGAGTTCAATTTTTTTAATTTTATTTTCACGTCAGCAACTAACGGAGTTAACATCTGATCCAGGATAAGTTTTAACTAAGGTTATAGAGTTTTATATCTGCTATTTACGAGTATAAAGTGTATCTGGTTTCTGACAATGTGATATTCTGGTTGTGAAGGAGACATTCATGTATATAGTCTTCTCTTAGGAAGCTGAAACCAAGTATCGGCAATTACCATATTCTTTTCTTGGCAGAATTCTATGAGCCTTTCTCCTCTCTCGTTCCTAATCCGAACTGTCCAACTATATTTTCAATTGTACCTACTCCAATTTTTGCATTAAAGTCTCCTAAAATGTAAGTAATATCTCTAATTTTGTTAACTTGATTGTATTGTGCAATTCTAAATAAAACTTTTTGATCTCATCTTCGGTCTTATCAGCTGTGGGAGCATAGAATTGGATCATATTAATATTACAGTTCCGTGCTTGAATTTTTAGCATTATTATTCTTTCTGAGATTTGAATCACACTTAGCACTGATTTTCTAATAGTGTTGCTTATGATGAAAGCTACTTCCGTATCCATGATCAGTTTCGTCTCCTCCAGCGTAATAAAATATTGTGGTTATTTATTGATATCTCTCCATTTCCTGACCATTGTACATCGCTAACACCAAATATATCTATATTTAGCCTCTCTTTTCTTTTTAATAACATTATGTAGTTTTCCAGGCTGATACATACTTCTTACATTCCAGGTAGCTATTTTTTTCTGAGAGGGTTGAGTATTTTTTTTTTGGTTTTTTTGTGAAAGGGTTTCGCATTTTGACGACCGATGAGGCCATACGTTCTGAAGGTTGTCCTCCTTGCCGGATTTTGGTCTCCAATTTACCATAATCAAATAATGTCTCTTGCGTAAATAGTGCTATCCATTAAAATTTATACTAGAGATGTTATCAGGACTTTTAATGCCGTGGTTTCTCGTTGCCTTCTGCATTCTGACGCCGTTGCGTGACAACGGCGTTAAACGTTGCTTGTCTTTTAGCACTATTTTTGAAAAAAACCGTAAATATTTCTGACCAAATCTTCAAATCTTCGTGGTAATTTTCTACATACTTCGCTTGCGCATTAATGCAAAGAGTGACACATACATTTTTGGAGCATTAACCTTGGAATGTCGTTGGCCAATTTGCTTGCTACAGAGTGTTTACTAAGAGGTATTTTATTTTTTGTTAAAATTTTAATTACTTCTTCACATAACCTCTAGCTAGTAGCACCTTCGTTTGCTTTCTCAGGTTCGTCGTCGGAAAAAATTTGTATAACCTTAAAAAAAAACAGTATCAACTTAACAAGTTTTAGGATGAAAAAATCGTACACAAATACACAAAGTCTTGACAGAAGAAATGTCTGTAGATTCATCAATTATCAAGCTAAATTTGGAGCACTTCAAATAAGAGACAATTTCTTCCTCGGCACAAGCACCGATTACCCTTTTTGATATCTGTGTAGCTTTAAATCTTCCCAGTGACATATTCTGGGCAATCCTAAAATCAGGAAAACAACTTTTAATTAGATTTGTTATATGATCAGCTGAATTAAATGAAATATTATGTTCTGTAAAAAATCCTGTAATTTTTATTTCGGCAACTTTACTTTGAGTTTGCAAAGAGCTCTCAGGCTTATTAAACATAGCTGTAATTGTTGTATTTGGCAAACTTTTCACCTTTAAAGCATGTTTCAAGGACTTCGCATGATTTATAATCATGTTTATTTCGGCAGTGAATTCCACATTGCAAGCGCGACAACGAGCCTTTGTAGTGTCTGAAAGTAAATATAAATTATTTTAGATATAAATGTCAAATATTACCTGCAAGAATTTACCATTAGTATTTGTGATCCAACCTTTATACTTAGAGTCTTGTTCCCATTCCACACGGTATTATTTCTGTTTTCGGTGAGTAAGTTTTTTAGAACTCTCGCCCCGTTTAAACTTTTTATATTCAGGCGTTGAACTCCTTTTCTCAGATTCCGAATCACAATTCGACATTATTAAAACCATAATTTAAATTTTAAAAACTTCTTTTTAACTATTACGAGCATAGTATAAATAAGAGCAATCAAATTGTAAACACAAACTAACACAACACGAGTATCATTGATAAAAACAATTGCCACGGCGCAATTTTCTATGCATAGTAGATGCTTAACACGGGCGTTACTTATGGGCAGAATAACTGCGTTTGCCGTCGAATGCGAAAAATAATTTGTTGAATCATAGCATCATATAATATGATACCCGGGGTCCGAGGAGGATAAGTAAATCTGAAAATATTGTAATTGACTTGGCATTTATCCAGAATATTCGATATCTATTATTTAAGATTTACGTGTAATAAACTATAACAGGGAGAGGGCTCTGACCTTGGCTTAACAAACCGCATTTAGGTTAGCTCCGATAATATCGCGTAAATCTAATAGATTAAAGTGATCAAAAATAGTTAAAAGTGTGTACTACACAAATCTACAGTGCTTTTTATCGATTGTCTGCAATTGCAGTGAGTAAAATTAACATTCTCAATAATACATAAATACAACATATTCTGCAAGTCAACAAAATTATCACAAAAGGCCGTTCCGACCTGTTTTAGAGCAGGTTTTATTAAAAAGTCTGCTGATAATACAGAGCCGGATTGGCACGGGTAAAAAATTGACTATGATAAATAAATTTAAAGGCAAAAAATATTAACCAAAAATGAATCGAAAAGAAAATAATCCTTCACAAAACACCACACCGTCTACATACTCAAACATACTAACTTCATTCAAATATCCGGCAAAAGACCAAGCTATCTGCCATAAAAGGAATTAAAATTTATGATTATATAGTTGCCATTGGATCACTTGTCCTTCCAATGAACATAGTTTTTGCCTCGAAAATTGCAAACAACCGCATTTGCATTTATTTATCTTCTAAAAGAATAGTAGACCAACTCATTGATTTACACAATACGTTAAAATCAGCAACGTGCAAGTAGAAGTCCACAGATTATAAATCCAGCATTAAGATAAGTCATCTCGAATGTCTGTCCAACCATTCCAAACGAAGTTATAGAAGAAGAACTCAAGAAAATGGGAATTATCGTCATATCAAAAATGACATTTCTTCGATTGAGTATGTCTGAGATAGAATATAACCATGTTCTGAGTTTACGACGGCAAACCTACATCAATCCATTAGAAAACTTATCCTTAACAGACTCTTTCAACATTTCTTTTAATTCTACAACATATGGAATATATCTTTCCATAGACGAATTTAATTTTTCTAAATATCGAACAATCGGACACCGAGAAGTTGACTGCATTCAAAAAACGGATTCGCCCAGTGAACAAATGGAAACAGAGGCACCTAAAAATCCTAATTCAAATAACCAAACCAATATACAGCTAACTGAAACCACCAATAAAACTCCTTTTGAAGTAAACATTCCCTATAACCCTCCAGTTCCTACCCTATCTATAACTAGCAACGATAACATACATTTAAATAAAGATAAGGTCAAAAGACAATTATCAAATTCTCCAGATGTTTCTGATATTCCCACATCACAAGACGTCTTCTCTGTTCCAAAACATCTAAACCAAAAAAGAGTCAAGTAGACTGAAAACACATTTGCAGTCCTCGACTATATTAAAAACTTAATAGAACAAAAAAATCCGGCCCTTTCCTATAAGTTATTCAGAAATATGCCTATTTTTAGAAAATGCCACTAACTCTAAAAACCATGAACTTATAGCATAAGAATACACCAATGACTTGATCCAGAATCATACCGACCCATCTCTCTAACATGTGGCCATGGCTAAATTAATGGAGAAAATAGTCAATGCCCGGCTTATGTGGACACTGGAAAAATCTCATTTCTTCTTATCAGAGCAAAACGGCTTCAGACGTAACCGGTCAGCAATTGACAACATCGTAGACTTACAAAAGTGATATCCAAGAAGCGTTAGCAATGAATCAAATGTGCATAGCTATTTTCTTCGATCTAAAGAAAGCCTTCAATACATGTTGGAGATTTAACATCATTAAAAAATTGCACGCATCCAATATTAGAGGACACTGCTTATGCCTATATCGAAAATTTCTTAAAAGACTTTTCTTTCCAAGTAAGAGTTAACAACGTTTATTCTGATTTTTATACTGCAGAAAACGGTACTCCACAAGGCTCAGTAATTAGTCCTACCATATTCTTAGTTGCCATAAACAACATATTAAACAAATTACATAAACCTCTCAAAGCTCGCCTCTACGCCGACAGATTTAGTGGTGTATATTAAAGGAGCACAAAAGGAATCTATGTGCAGAATAGTACAGACATTTCTAACCCAACTAGATGAATGGACGGCTAGTACGGGCTTCAAATTCTCCGTTACAAAGACAACTGGTGTGGTTGTTCACGAAAAAATCATCCATTACACCAGTCCTTTATCTTCACAACAGCATCATTCCATTCCAAAACTCCGTGAAATTCCTTGGGTATGTGGCTGGATCAAAAACTTTCCTGGAAAAAGCACATACAACACTTGGCGCTAACATGCAACAAAAGACTTAATTTGCTTAAAACCGTATCAAATCGTTTCTGGGGTTCTGACTTCTCTACACTACTCCTTCTGTATAAAACACTAATTAGATCCAAACTCGATTACGGTTCAATTGTTTATGCCTCTGCAACCAAGAGTACCCTAAAACCGTTAGATACAATTCACAATGCCGCACTTCGGATCGTTCTCGGAGCTTTTCACACTTCACCCATAGAAAGCTTATATTCTGAAACTGGAGAACCATCATTGCAGTATAGGCGAGCACTTTTAACACTTTCACACGCTTCTTCTATAGCTGCTAATAAGGATCATCCACTCTTCGAAAATACTTTTTTTAAAAAATAATCTTGACTTCCTCTTTAATAAACCTCGTACTGGAAAACCTTATTACACACGAGTAAGATCAATTCTGAATAATTTTGATACAATAATCCCAAACGTATTTCAGTGTAACATCCAACATCCGGCTCCATGGTTAATAAGCATCCCAAATTGCAACACTTCTCTAATAGAGTTCTCCCAAAAATACAATAACAACATACTAATTAAAAACAAACTAAACGAGATTCTTGAACGAGACTACCTTAACTACACAAATATCTTTAACCGATGCCTCTAAATCTAATGATGGCATTGGTTGTGCATTTGTTACTCCAACGTCTAACTTTCAAATTTAAACTACCGCCTAGCTCAAGTGTTTTTACCGCTGAATTGTTTGCTTTATATCGTGCCCTAAAATATGCAAACCTCTTAAGAATTTCAAAACCTCTGTTTTTCACGGACTCGCTCAGCTCTCTTCTTGCAATACAGCATCTGTATCCTAAAACAGCCCCTGGAGCAACTAATAAAAACTGAACTACAAATCGCCCAAGAGAACCACATAACCCCTAAATTTATATGGATCCCATCGCATATTGGAATATATCGGCAATGAAGAGGCAGACCGTAGTGCTCGTGATGCAGCAACAAGTGCGGAATCTGAATTAGTGCGTGACAGTGTAATGTAAAGATGTCAAAACGTTTTTTAAACAAAAAGTGATTGGTCAGTGGCAGCGCGAATGGTTTCTATCGAAATCTAAATTAAGATCGCTAAAACCAGATATCACGACAGTGGAAAACTAGTGCTGGGTACAACGGTTTATTCAAACGGTTCTAACGCGCCTACGTAATAGGACACACTAAGATCACACACTCTTATTTACTTTCGGGGCCAGTGAACGCCCCCTGTGCGACCTATGTGCTACTGCGGCCTCTTACCGTCGCGCATTTGTTAAATTGGATGTCCAAAATTCCATAGAGAACGTTTAATAAACAATATACCAAATACTCTACCAGATTTATTAGGAGAAAACTGTCCCGTAAAAAACCTATTAAATTACCTAAGGTCAATCAATATTTTGTATCAGATTTAATGTTTTATTTACTGAGTAACGCCGCTAATAACCTGTTGGTGGATGCGGCAATGTTTTCTTTTAATAATAAAAAAAAACTACACCAATGAAATATCCGAAATTATTGACATTCTCACTTTTAATCCCACGCAAATATTCAAAATCCCTCTTTAAAGAAGAACAATTACAACTATATAAGAAAAAAATTATCCTCAAATTATTATTCATCTACAGAAGAATCTGACAACGACACAATGAGTCAGGATAAATAATGTTTGATACATTTTTAATTCAATGGAACCTAAACGGATTCTACACCCCACCTTGAGCAATTAAAACTTCCTCCTAAACGATTTCTCCCCATTGTAATTTGTCTGAAAGAATCTCACTTTAAAAACAATTCTGTAACACTTAGAAGTTATGTGCCATTTCTAAACCAACAGAAATGGAATGCATGCTTATGGTGGAGAAGGCTACTTTCATTCGAAATGACACTGAAGCAAAAATCGTTCCACTTACTACAAACCTGAAAGCTGTGGCTGTGTCAATTACCTATGGTAAAAACATCAATGTTTGCAATATATACTTACCGCATCCTAACCAAGACGACATAAATGAACTAACAGCACTCATAGAAAAATTACCCCATCCCAAAGTAATTCTAGACGATTTTAACTGCCATCACCCAGCGTGGGTAGCCAAAAAATCGATAAATGTGATAACCTCCTACACAGTTTGATAAATAAATCAAATTTAGTCTTATTAAACACTGGAAAGCCAACAAGATTCAATTCATATAACCGATCATTATCTGCAATTGACCTGACTCTGTGTAGCCCATCACTAGCACACATGTTTCAATGGAACACAGCAAAAACTGTGCATGACAGTGACCACTTCCCCTTACTTATTTCAATCGAGACAAACCAACCTTTTAATCCGAATGTATATCAAAAATGGAAATAAAATCAGCAAACTGGGAACTTTTTCAAAAAGACTTGGAAGACGAGATGGAAAATTATGAGATATCAAATGACATTCACAAAACCGTCACGGACTTTAACAACATTATCTTAAATTGTGCATCTACATCTGTAGGAAAAACTAAACCGTGTAAAAGTTAACCGGTACCTTGGTGGAGTCAAGAAATCTCTCCGACCTTGGCTGCTAGCAAGCACGCCTTTAACGTTTCTTAAGAGACACAAAACAGAGGAAAACCTAATAAAATTTTAAGATATTGAGAGCTAGTGCACGATTCTTAATAAAAAATAGTAAGAAGGAGACCTGGATTGAATATGTTAGAAGTATTAACACATCTACCCCACAAATATAATCTGGAACAAAATAAAGAAAATAAAAGGATCAAGTTTACCTTACTCAATAAATGCACTTTCATATAACAACCAAATCATCTCTTGTAGAAACGAAATTCCTGAAATTCTAGTAGACGTATTTCAAAAAAACTCTAGCTATTCTGTACTAGATCCGATCTTTTCTACACATAAGACTACCACAGAATTTGTAGACATCAAAATTCGCAACCAGATCTCTCCCATAAATGTACCCATAACTTTGCAAGAATTAGATTTTTCTCTTTTAAACTTAAAAACCACATCTCCAGGTCCTGATGATATTCCATCGATATTTTTAAAAAATCTACCCCAAAAATGCAAAAAGACACTTTTAGACATCTTTAATCACATCTTTTTAAATCATTACTTTCCTGATAATTGGACCAAAGCTATTATAATCCCAATTTATAAACAACACAATCCAAAAGATTGTCCCACATCTTACCGTCCTATTTCCCTCACCTGTAGCATGTGTAAACTTCTCGAGAAGATTTTAAATTACAGGCTTACATGGTATCTAGAAAATGAAAATCTCCTGACCACAGTTCAAAGTGGTTTTCGACGAGGAAGATCTGCTAACGACAACTTAGTGGCACTTGAGTCAGCCATTCATGATGCATTCTTACTAGATCAGAAAGTTATAGCAGTCTTTTTTGATGTGAATAAAGCTTTCGACACAACATGGAGATACCTCATATTAAATAAACTTGATAAATGGGGAATTCAAGGACATATGCTTGCGTTTATAAAAAACTTTCTGAATAAAAGGGAAATACAAGTAAGAGTAAATGGATACACCTCTACCACTAGAATACTCGACAACGGTGTTCCACAAGGTTCTATTTTAAGCCCAACTTTATTTTTAATTGCATTTAACGATGTAATAAATACAATTAAGCCTCCTATAAAAGCAAACTTATACGCTGATGATTTAGTTGTGTATATTAAATGCAAAAATATTACATCTGGGGCTAAAATACTACAGAACCTTCTATACAAAATCGAAGAATGGTCTTCCAAAACAGGCTTCCTCTTTTCAACTAATAAGACACATTACACAGTTTTCAGCAAACGCAAGAATACCATTCCTGTTTCGTTAATATTTAACGGTCAAAATATATCTCATTCAGAGGAATCGAATTTTTTGGGCCTAACGTTTGATTACAAATTAAACTGGAAAACACACATTACGACTTTACAACTAACTTGTCAAAATAGAATAAACTTGCTGAAAATTCTATCCAATAATATATGGGGAGCTGATTCTAGTATTCTGCTTAACCTCTACAAATCAATTATTCGCAGTAAACTAGACTATGGTGCAATATGCTACGATACAGCAAATAAAACGTTTCTAAAAAACCTTAACACAATTCAAACAACAGCTCTAAGATTAGCCGTCGGTGCCTTCAGAACCAGTCCTGTAAGCAGCTTACAAGTAATATCAAGAGAACCCCCTCTACATCTAAGACGACATCTACTTAGTTTAAATTATGCAGCAAGAATATCTTCCAATAAAAAGCACCCATTATATTCTGAGATTATTAACGCACCTACATCCAATTTGTATAGAAACAAACAATATAAAGACAAACCCTTTAGGGAAAGAATCAATCAAAAAGGATTCAATTGCAATGAATTCAAATTATCCATAACTACAAAATTAGACTTTCCTCCATGGCTTACCCCCTTACCTATCACCGATTTAACTTTAACACAGTACCCAAAAAATACCACAAATCCTAACCTTATCATTAACGCATTCAAAGAAATTATGGAGAAGTATCCAAATCACCACATAATATACACAGATGCATCAAAAACTGAAAGTGGCCATGCTGCAGCCTTCACAAATAAAAATTACAAATATGCCATTAGAATTCCACAGCATTGCAGCATTTACACCGGAGAAACCACAGCGATATTAGAAGCTATCAAGAAATCCTCTTCAACGACTGAAAATAATATTTTAATCATCACAGATTCACTCAGCGCAATTCATGGAATTAATCAACTTTACCCTAGCCATCCCATTGCACAAAACATAAGAAATGAACTTAATGCACTACACCATATAAATAAAAAGGTTACATTTATCTGGATACCTTCACACATTGGCATTAAAGGCAACGAGGAAGTTGATCAATTAGCATTAAAATCCATCAAAAATGAAAATGTTCCAGAAATTACTAAATATCCCCACACCGACCATAAACGACAGTCCATGAATCATATAATAAATTTATGGCAAGCAACCTGGGATGCAACAGACTCTAAGTTGAAAACAATAAAGCCTCGAGTAGACTCTAGCCTACCACAACAAGGAAAAAGAAGAGATCAAGTAATCGTAAATCGTCTTCGAATCGGCCACACAATACTAACACACCAACACCTTCTAAATAAAGAACCAGCTCCAATTTGTACCTACTGCTCTACTCAACTCACGGTGAAGCATCTGATAGTCGACTGTCCGCAGTTCCAACCTCAGAGAACATGCCGAGGAATTAGTGGAAACCTGAGAAGTGCGCTTACGACAAATATCTCGGATTTATTGCAGTTTCTAAAAGACATAAACATTTATAATAAACTTTAATTTAACAAACTGTACTACTGTGTATGTCCCCCCACTAATAACCCTTGGTGGTTGATGTGGGTTTTGTATGTTTAAATAAAAAAAAATAAATAAATAAAATATAATAAAAAAGGTGTAAACAATATTCAACAACAGCGATTTTTTTTTTTGTTCATTTTGCAGTAACTTTTTTGTTTAGGTATTACCCGATTTTAATTCCACACATCTCATTTTGTGAACCTTTTTTCTGAAAAAATTGTCTGTTGACGTCAAATCTCTAAATAGACAAGTTTTTAAGTTATGAGCAAAGTAATGAGTTTACCGTTTTTATTGTTGATTTATATTTCCACTAAAAATAGATGAATCCCTAGATGAGAGTCTTTTAGTTTAGTAAATTTAAGTTATAATATAATTTCATTTTCCAAACATTTATACCCAATTCCTGGCACTGAATCGGCAAATCCTTCATTTTCGTTTTATGTTAACTTTCGAACCTACTGTAGGAGCTACCTAAATCTCTAATACAATAGGGATACAACGAGAGATAGAAAATAAAGACACATTTCCAATGAATCAATGCTTTAATTTTTTAAGCGGCGATCTAGTGTTTCAGATACATTTTTTAATTGGAATTTGAATTTGAAGAGGACAGAATATAGTAAAAAACACTCTGGAGACTTTAAAAAATATTATATTAAGGACGAAAATATTTAAATTGTAGTAAAAAGTGTCAAAGTATATATGTAGCATATTAGTTGTAGATCTATTTATCGTATTAGGTACTAAGATTAGCTTATTAATATTATTTAAAATATTAGACTACTTTTGAAACAAGTTTGATTTTTTGTTATTTGTTCTAGATTCCACGATGAGGAACATGCCAACCTTCTTAATGCAATGTGGCTTATAGCTATCACCTTCCTCAGTGTTGGTTTCGGGGATATTGTTCCTAACACCTACTGTGGTAGGGGCATCGCAGTCAGCACTGGCATTATGGTAAGTTTAGAGTAATCTGAATCATTCAAATAGAACCAAATCATCGACATATAGATTTCCCTTAACTATAGTTTATTTTTATGAACGAGAGAGTAATTAGCATAATTTTAAACTGGTACCTCCGACCACTCCATGGGCGTGCTCAAGATTAATTGAAAAATTACTTTGAATAATTGTAAAAAATAAATGAATTATTTCAGTGTTATAAAGTGTTATGTGTATGTAAACAAAAGTGACCTCTTTTATCACACACTATATTAGAACTGACTGGCCTACATTAAAAAGGATTTTAAAAAATTCACATTTTTTTTTATTTTTAAAAATTACAAAAGAGAAAAAGAGTTTTTAAAACCGTCTAAGGTATGTTAAATATATGAATAAAAATATTAATATAAAACTTACAGCTACTTGTTACAAATCCAAATCAGATTCAGAAGATGAACTTTCAGAACCAATATTTATAATAACTGGCTCGATCATTTTATCAGTAATATTATCCAGCTTCCACATTTTTTCCTCTTCTTTAATAGTGTGATTTACTGCCTTTTCCCAGTTTTCAGGTTTTACATTATTTACGGCATCCAAAAACAACTGTTTAACATCATGAATTTTAAAAGTGGTATTTTTTCTTGAAACTTCACTCTTTATCTGTGCCCATACCAGTTCAATCGGGTTTAATTCACAATGATATGGTGGGGATCTAAGTACTGTCATTCCACCATTTTTGGCAATTTCATCAATTTCGTATTTTTAAAATTTTTCTTTATGAAGGGCACACAACGAATAAAGTTTCTTTCTTATAGATCCGGGATAGTACGTAATATTTTTTGAACTCAGCAAATTCTGCAAGTCTTTTTTTAACCACTTGGTTGTAGGCAGTCCTTCTATAAGTCTGGAGTGATAACTTGCATTATCCATTACTATTACACAGTTCTTAGGAAGAAGATCTATCATTTGTTCGAACCATTCTTGAAAGACATCAGCGTTCATGTCTTCATGGTAGTCACCGGTACGAGTTGATTCAAAAGTTAATAAACCACCTTCAACAAAACCGTCTGAACTGCCAATGTGTACTATTATCAGCCTGCGTCTCTTTCCTGATGGTGGGTTTAAACCAGTAGATAAGTAATTTACAAAAGCGTGCCTTTGGCTTGTAACAGTTTCATCCTGCCAAAATTTATTTGGTGTATGACCCTCGTTGATCCATGTTTCATCAAGATAAAATATTTTTCTTTTTTGGTTTCTCATTTCCTTTATGGTTCTTAGAAAATGTCTTCTCCATATGACAATATCGCTTCTTTCTAATAAAATAGACTTTCTGGGATTATTTTTCCAGCGGAAGCCTATTTCTTTTAAAAGTTTCCATAACGTACTTCGACTCATTTCTGGGTAATCCTTATCATCTCGAACTGAGACAAGAACTTTATCCAATGTTGGAAATTCTTGTCTAAAGAAGAATTCATGCACTTTCCGTCGAAGTCCTTCTTTAAAATGATATTCTATTTGAAATTTTGGTTTCCCTGGAGCATTACGTGGCATTTGAAAACTACCACATTTCTCTTCTTTAATAACTCTGTAAATCGTAGATTTCCCAACACCAAGTGTACTGCTAACTAACTCAACGGTCTCATCAACACTTTCACATAAACGTTTGTCTGTAAATGATTTAAAACAATTAAATATTAATGTTTTTTCATTAACTGTTAAAGGACCAATTTTTCGGCGTTTACACGGCACTTCGAAATTTTCCATAACACTAGTATACACAATAAACTGCACCTTGCAACTGAAGTACCTACTTTTAGTGAACTATTAAGAATTTTGAATACGCCACTTGGACCTTCCCACAAAATGGAAAAACCTACTATCACATTTTCTGTGGAATAAGTTTAGAAGGTAATTATCTAGTCAATTACTGTCGTAGATTCCTGGAATTAAAGAATTAAATGTTTGATTGTTGAAACCCGAACTTCGTGGAATGCACTCATTTCAGATAAAATAAAACGTTTTATTTTATCTAAAGAATGAAACTTTATTTTGCAAATAGGTAGGTACTTATTAAACTTTTATTGGTTATATATAACATCTTACATTTCTTGCAAATTCATTAGTACCTGTTAACCTCCATCACTCCGACACTAGCAACCTTATTTAGGGATTAGTAACCCTCACAACTATTGTATCCTATTCTGCTCCAACCTTTATACCTGGTGGTCATACTCAATTTAAAATTGTTTTCCTATATACTTCTGTAAACTTGTTGACAAATATCTGTTTTTCATTGAGTCACCCGTATCAACAGTTTAGGGATTTGCATACATAATTTATTGTTTTATTACTCTCTCATACATAAAAATATACTATAGCTGGGAGCAGTGATTTATTATATCGTTGATAGCCAGGAGAAAGTGAGTTGAGCTCATAACTGACCTCTGAGATGATATGTTTCCCTGATTTTTTTTTGTTGAACTGGAATTATCGGCGGTAATAGAGCTCTTGACTGGAGAAAGTTTTCTATAAATATTAGCATATTACCCTTGATTTCCCATTTGTATGGGAAATACTGCGATGGTCTCTTGAATATTTGCAAACTTCGTATATTTTTGACTCTAAATCTAGTAAGTTGTCTACGTATGATCTATTGGCAATATATTAGCATATATCTTAACTTGGCGAAACTAAAATTCAGATATTTTTCTACTGCGCTTTTTACAATATAGGAAGCAGTCACATTGATGAATTTACCCACATTTGCTTTGGTGAACGACAGGTTCAACGCTATCTATTTCTGTTAAACAATTTCGGAATATCTTTTCTTTTATTCGTTTATTCTTTGAAAATATTTTCTTCAGACAGTACTTTCTAAAATTAATTATATTGCTCGATAGGTATTTCTTCCTGGAAATTAAATTTAACGACTCTTCAGTCGGGGGCTTAGATATGGATATTTATTGTCGAAACTTGCTAAAACGCCACGTCCTTTTTTGGACGATATGTTGCGAATTTAAGAAATATACTAGTGTTGATCAGAGGTTTAAAATTATTATAAAAATACAGCTTTAAGTAACGATTTTTATGGATATATGATACAGAACCCAAGGAAATCAAAGTGTGTAATACTATTTACATTGAGTCAGTGAGAAATATTCGAACCATAATTTAAAAAAAAAACAGAATCATATACGTGTCATTCCCCTTGTAATCGATTGATTTTTTTTAGGGCGCTGGTTGTACAGCCTTATTAGTAGCAGTAGTATCAAGAAAATTAGAGTTAACTAGAGCGGAAAAACATGTACATAATTTTATGATGGACACGCAGCTGACGAAACGGGTAAGCGATATTACTAATCACATATATGTTTTATTCCCCATTAAAAAAGTGTCGCTTTAATATGTCAGTATTTTACATAGTAGTACAAGTAAATATAAGAGTAAAGATTAAATTTTAAATGTCAAAGATTCCATGATGTCATAAATAAATAGTACTGAGATGTCAAAAATATTTAACAAATGTCTTCTTATCCAATTAAATGTAAATTTTAATTAGTGGCTTGTTCCTTAAACCCTTCTTCGCTTATGCTTACAATTTTGAAATATGGCAAGTAAAATATGACGAAAAAAAAATAGTTTTAAATTAAGTGTAAATGTTTACTATATTTAGAGGACATCAACAGAAATAATGTCAACAGAACAACTGCCAAACCCACTATTTTTGTTCTGATTGATGATCGGCGAGATAAAAAAATAGTATGTTTATTTGGGATTATTATATTATTTAAGAGCAAAAAACTAGGTTGGAATGTCAGCCAGGTGACTGGCTCGTTATACAGTACGATATAGTGAAGGTTGGTACGTTGAAATGTAGGGATTGTGGATGGAAGAGCTGTTAAAGGACCTAGAAAAGAATAGTAAAGGCAGCGCCAATCTATGTGGATACCTTAAAGCACAACAAAGAAAAGACAGACCAGTAGGTAAAATTGACAATAGATCATGGGAAACACACTTCACAGAACTATATAGATGCAAAGAAAGCTCGGAAGAGGAAGTAGGCGTAATGGAAGACATTAGAGATAATGAAATAGGGATACCAACATATGATGAATATTTAGATATCATTCAAAAGATGAAACAAAAAAGAACACCTGAACCAGATGAGTTCCCAATTAGCTAATTAAAAACGGAGGGGAAAAGTTATTAACAAGCATCTAAAACCTAATAGTTAGATTATGGGAAGCAGAAGAAATGCCCGAGGATTGGAAAGAATGCAGAATTATACCAATATTTAAGAAAAGAGAAGTAACAAACTGTAACAACTATAGAGTAATATATCTACTGAGCACAACATATAAAGTTCAAACAGCCCTCATCAAACAAAAACTCACTCAATTCACAGAGAAAAAAATTGGGCACTACCAGCAAGCATTCAGAGAAGGCAGTACCTTGCCGGATGCGGATCCACTACACATGCGATCCACATAGTTACACAAATAATCGAAAAATGCCACGAACACAACATAGAACTCCACATCCTCTTCGCAGACTTTAGACAAGCCCTTTGACTGTATTTGAAGAAATAAATTATTTATGAAATAAAAGATCAAGATATACTAGTAAAATTAAACAGATTAACAAAAATGACCATTAATGGAGCTCGAGCTAAAGTAACAACAGAAGAAGGTAGTACAAAATCAATTGCAATAGAAGCAGGAGTGCGACAAGGCGATTCCCTGTCAACCACATTATTCAACATTATGGGCCCGATAAGAATGGACAGTAGAGAAATGAAAAGAAGAATGAACCATGAACTAAGAGACTCCCATGAAGGGAGAAAATATAGTTAGATTTATTTAAGCACAGAGGCTAAGATGGCTGGGACACATAGAGAGAAGGAAAACGACCTAATGATTAAGAATATCACCAGATGAAAACCAGCAACTGAAAGACCAAGGAGAAAACTCAGAGAGAGATGGGTGAACCATGTCATGAGAGATATCCAAATTCTGGAAGTGAGAAACTGAAGGAAACTATGTACATATAGAAATAATTGGAAGAAAATTGTAACAAAAGCCTAGTCATACAACAAACTTATAATACTAGTGACAATATACCAGTGACAATATACAATTCCACCCGGAATGAAAAGCCCTAATGATGATGGTACGTTGAAATAGAGGAGAAATGATCTTAAATATTAAAAGCGATTTAAGTTTTAGTATTAGGAAAAAACCAAAAAAATAAAAAAAAACCAAAAATTGTTTTCCTATCTATACAAATCAATTTAATACTTATCAAGAATAAGTATTAAATTCATATTCAAAATGTAATAAGGGCCCGTCATGTCTTTTATAAAAGCCGCACAGGCTTAGTCTCTTCAGTTAGATCAAATGAGGACCTTTTTGCGGAATCTGAGCATGGAGATCATATACGACAAACATAGGCTCAACGGTCACAACCATTCATTGTATAGCCAGCGAGAACAAAATGTATATCGACAAATCGGCGGCTGAGTGATCGAGTATACACATATTTCGAACAGAGTCATCAACTTAGGTTGATAGTTCTCTATTCGAAACACACACTTTTTCCTCATGGACTTGTCCCGCTGTCCAGTAGAATAACTTCAATAGAGTCAGTAAATAGGGAGCAAAGCCGATCAGGAAAAACAGAGGACATCACCCAGGGCTTCCAAAGTAACACTCAGATCATAAGCCTCTCCACGTTAATCACGTTATATGAAGAGGTGGGGGCAAAGATCGTCAAATAGGTACCACTTTATAGCGAAGTTTGACCGGCTTGATCTTGGATATATGGATCCTACTTTACAATGGTATATATACATATTCCTCAGGGACAAGATTGATCACCGTGTGTGTGCATTCTGGAAACAAGACGAAGGTAGCTCTGGATTGTATCGTGTTACAAACATGTTGTGTTATATATATAGTTCATTGGTACGGACTTCATCTTTATGCACATCGACCGTCCCCATTAACGTTAACGGCAGACAAATGGCGAGAAAATAGATTTGTTCGTTGTACGCGCGAACACTGTTTTAAAACGTTTTGTCTGTGCTGTATAGAAATATGTGTTCTCTTTGCAGTCAAAAAGATTTTATTAAACTGTTCTAGATACATATAGCCAAAGAGACCTAAACTCAATCAAAACACAAGGCTATAGTAGCGATGTGATATAGTGTAAAAAAGTAATAAAATCAAGAAACAAATCATAGAGACAAGCCAATCGTTCGATACATTATATGGAATTAAGCAAATAGTGACGATATGAAAGAAGTTTGCAACATTAACAATATAATTAAATCTTTTTTCTCTACTCTTTTATGCTTTAGATTAGAATGTAAACAGAATCAGAATTCTTTGTGTAGATAACTATGCCAAATATTTATTTAGTTTTTGTATTTATTTATTTTAACTATAAACATGGTTTTCAGTTAAAAAATGCAGCTGCGAATGTCCTACGTGAAACCTGGTTGATTTATAAACATACAAGGCTAGTGAAAAGAGTTAATCCAGGTAGAGTTAGGACTCACCAAAGAAAATTTTTACTTGCAATTTATGCGTAAGTATTTTTTAGTGTATTCTGAGTAAGTAAGTAAGTAAATTTCTATGCGATGCTTTCTATATAATTAAAGTAAAAATCGGGTTTATCCTTTACATTTAGATTTTGTAACTACATGTTTTTTTAACTTTCATAAACTCATGGTTAAAAATTTGCATTAAATACCGAAATGGGTGCAAATTTACCACAACAGTTTTGGCATAATTTTTATTATAATTAGAATAAGATAACTCAGAATAATGCAAAACCTATGAACCTACACGACCCCTTGGTTTAAAACGACAATGCCAGTACTGTAAAAGACTTGAATAATCAGACTTCCCTGGAAAACCTTAAAAAGAGTCATTACAAAGAAAATTATTTAAAAGGCATTCGAGAATGGCGGCTTAAAAATGGAGTAAAACCTATTTGGCAAGAAATAATCAAATACAGTGGAATTATAAAAGCGTACTGAGCTCAATGGGAATCTCTGTATATTTCCAATGGTGTATTAAATTGGAAGTAGAAAACTCCCGGTGGAGTATGAACAACTGGGGCTGCCAAAATCACACATTACAAGTGTATTAACCCTAGAGTACTAACGTACATAAATTTTACGTACCGGTTTTAATCTGACAGCTACTGAAAGAAAACTAAACGTGACAATGCTTAGCCGCGTGGGCTATGCTATCCTCACTTCATGATCAATAAAACAAATGAATACTCGCTTTGATTTTCGTTTGGGTTAGACCTTGACCGTAGTAGTTATAACACTCTGTACGTAAAAGATACGTGTGGTTAGTATCCGCATAAAAAGTTTTGTACGTAATTGTGACGTGTTGTTATCATTAATGTATAAATAAGATGTCTGCAAAATCAAATGTTAATCTAAACCGTCCTCCTACTGGGAAAGAATTGGAGGAAATTATAAATAAAAGTTACTTCAGTGATTTAAGTAATACAGAAGATGATCTAGAGGATTTAGAAAATCCATTTGATAGCGACGATAATATTGAAGATAGAGACTATGATCCTACACAGGACAAAGAAAATGTCTTCACAAAACTAGCCAACACCTGGGCAGATACACGAGAAGAAACTCACAAAAAAACAAGAAATACATGCTCTCGTAAAAGAATTAAAATTACGCAGCAGCCGGCATCAGAATCAACATATACTGATAACCGTATTAAACAAAAATCGTCTGTTATAATATGGGATAAACAATCTTTAGTAGGTAAAAACGATTATAAGTATATTTTGCCAATAAATGATGGAGATCGTAAAATCGCAAAAATTTTTGCTCCAATATCTAAAATTTGGAACTTGTTTTTTGAAAACTGTGTCAAAAATTATAACGCTAGTTCATATGTGACAATCAACGAACAACTCTCAGGATTTCGTGGCAGGTGTCCATTTCGCATGGTTATACCAAACAAACCTAGCAAATATGGAATAAAAATACTTATGGTTTGGGATGTGGCTACGAAATATAATGCAACACCGTATCTGGATAAATCTACTGTAACCAACAGCATTTCTTCAGTAGAACATTTTGCCACAAGCCTGACGAGACCTTTACATGGAAGTAGATGTAATGTGACAATGGACAACTGGTTTTCCAGCATCCCTTTTGCGAATAAATTATTAACTTCCCCTTAAAATTTAACAATGTTCGGAATACTCCGGAAAAATAAAGGAGAAATAGCTATGAAAATTGCATTGCAATTTTTAAACAAACTGGTCATAAAATATATCAGTGTAACTTATTTAAAGACACAAATCCGGCTCGAAGGACCACACAATAAGGGAGCCTTGTAACTGACTACTTACATCGCGAGAGTTGGAAATCTTTGGATTTCAAGCCTTACTTCAAAGAACTTTAGAATGGATGCATCTCCATAGGTTTGGTTCTTCAGTGACCGTTGAAGGATAAGGATTCTTAATGTGAGCAAATATAGCTCCAGAGAAATAAAATCACTTTTGAGTTTATCGATTTATAATCAAATCTTTTAAGAGTAGAGAGGCGCAACACGGCCGTAACTTACTATACAATATCAAATTAATGTACTCTTTCTTTATAACACGTAAAAGAAACACCGTTATAAGAAAATGCCCGATTTCGGCGAAGAGAAATATTTAATACGTGAATTGCGAGTTCTTAACTACTCGCTGTGATGGCTCCATGGCCATGTGTCAACTTGAACTGAGCTGATAAAACATTACATAATGCGTGAACGGGAATTTTACCCTTATTTTATTTAGGTGTGAAAAATATTTAACAGGGTCCGACGTCAGACGCCAGGGTGTCGCATTCAAACGATAAAGTAACTGTTCTAGTTATTCTACACTAAGAAAAGTCAAAGAATTACATTTTTATTTTAGATTTTAAAAACAATATGTTCATTTCTGGAACACATCCAAAATTGCTCGATAACAAAACTTGAAAGTGCCGTTCAAGTGTATTTGTGTACGATAAAAATATGACTCTATTATCTTATAAACCTAAGCAAAATAAGACAGTTCTTCTACTTTCCACTATGTATTTTTCTGGAAATATGAATCATGTAACAACAAAACCACATGTAACAAACACAACCTCATGTAACAATAAACCACACATATAATTCAACTAAAGGGGCTGTAGATACATTTGACCAAATGTATTAGAACATTTGCTGTAATAGGAAGAGTACAAGGTCGCCGCTATGCATATTTTACAATATAATAATTATTGCAGGAGCAAACGCTTTTGTAATCTACCATCACAATGCAACTAAAAGCAAACAGGAGCCATTATCAAGATTAAATTTTATGCTGAAACTTCATGAATAATTAACGAAACCGTGGCAACTAATAAGACTCCAAACAGTACCAAATTTATCAAGAAGTCTCAAAGAGAGTCTTTCCATGCTTTTGAATTTAACACATGTAGCTGAAGACCGCCAAGGTCTCCAAGGGAAAGGAAAACAGACTTACTGTAGTTTATGCTCTACAGGAAAGAAACGAATGACAACTATCAAATGTTATAAGTGTGGGAGTGCCTTGTCTGGAGAGCATCAAATAAAAATGTGTATGGAAAGTGTACACCAATAGAAGATTATCGTTTCTATATTTGTAATGTTTATTATATGCAAAGGTTTATCGTGTACATATTATTACAAGATTCGGTTCTGTGTCAAAAGTATGTATTTTATGTTGTTTATGTTTGGATTATTAATATTTCAGTAATGTTTTTTATTTGTATCTTTTCTAAATAAACTTTTCTTCAAATTAAACCACTTTGTTTTAATTAGATATGAAATAAAAACAAAATACTAGACCTAAATGAATGAGAATGTAAAATTTACGTATGGTTAGCATTTACGTATGTTAAAAAAACGTTAGTATTCTACGGTTAAAAGAACCTCATAGCAGCCTTTTTGAGAGCATTTTGTAGTAAAAAGAGCCCTTGGCATAGTTCGACATAGAGTTTACTGTGTCAGTTGTCGCGGAGATGTAGGATATACGTGTAATATATGACAAATAGTCGTGGTAAAATGGTACAATATCTTCCCGCAGTGCCTTTTGAACAACTTGCACTGGATATTCTCGGTCCACTTCAGATGCTAGAGTGAGAAAACAACTACTTAATGGTCGCGGTGGATAATTTTTCAAAATCGACTGAAATTGCCGCCCTTCCCAACCGAGCAGCGAAAACAGTAGCACAAGTATTCATAATACTCATCTTATCAAGATATAGTTTAGTTACATTCTGATTTAGGGCGAAATTTTAAATCAAATTATGACAAGAATCAGTTGAAATCATGGATATTAATAAAACTCACACTACGGCTTTCCGAAATGGCCGAAAGGCATAATAGAACTGTTTGTCAATGCCTTCCAACGGTTTGCGCTGATAATCAAAAAGCGAAGAATAACGTTCATCCCTACATATATCATACATCATAGAAAGTCCGTACATCGTCCTGCAAAAAATAAACAATCTAACCGACCGCATCCAGTTTCCAGCTAGAATTAAACCCAAGGTAGTTTATATCGAGTGATTAGCTTAATACCATGGAACTAATCCCCCATGTCGGTTCAATCGGTCGCTAATAGATCACTTCTTTGAGACGAATAACTGTAAAGGAGAGTGCAGTCTTACGACAATTCCGTGAGATTTACTCCATATAGAAAAAGTCCCTTAACGAAAAAGAAGACGTATTCAAGAAATCTAGAATGATCGACATGTCATCGAAAAATTCCGAAACGACTATTAACGTCTGGAATTTCAGAAAATGTAGATAAACACAAGAAGTTGAGAGTTTAACCCTAGAGTACTAACGTACGTAACTTTCACGTACCGTTTTTAATCTGACAGCTACTAAAAGAATACTAAACGTGGCAATGCTTAGTCGCGTGGGCTATTCTATCCTCACTTCAGGGTCAATAAAACAAATGAATACTCGCTTTGATTTTAGTTTGGGTTAGGCTTTGACCGTAGTAGTTATAACACTCTGTACATAAAAGATACGTGTGGTTAGTATCCGCGTAAAAAGTTTTGTACGTAATTGTGAAGTGTTGTTATTATTAACGTATTAATAAGATGTCTGTAAAATTAAATGTTAATCCAAAGCGTCCTATTATTGATAAAGAATTGGAGGAAATTATAAATAAAAGTGATTTAAGTGATACAGAAGATGATCTAGAGAAATTAGAAAATTCATTTGACATCGACAATAGTATTGAAAATGGAGACTATGATCCTACATAATACGAAAAAAGTTCGTCACGTTAACACCTGGGCAGATACACCAGCAGAAACTCACAAAGAAACAAGAAATACATGCTCTCGTAAAAGAATTAAAATTACGCAACAGCCGTCATCGGAATCAAGATACACTGATAACCGTATGAACAAAAAGCGTCTGTTATAATATGGGATAAACATTAAACAGTCTTAAGTAGGTAAAAACGGTTATAAGTGGAGTAATCTACCAATAATTGATGGAGGTCGTAAAGTCGCATCCAGAAATATT